GAAGAAGAAGAAGAAGAAGAAGAAGAAGAAGAAGAAGAAGAAGAAGACGACGACTACTGAAGTAAAGGTCGAGAAGGGAAACAGAAACGCATAAAAACAAAAAGCAAAGTTTTCCCTTAGTCCCTACCTCAGCCGGGTTCCTCAGAGAGAAACAATGTATTTCCTTCTGGAAATGACTTTGTGTAAAGCACATTAGTACAGCCTCAGTGTATCAAGTTACCATATATTTACTCTACCTACATCCGTGTTTTTGCACTCAGTCAGTCATCCCATATGGAGACAGATGTCTATGGAACTGTTTACCATGTGTCTGCTGAGTCTACCCTGATTTATTTACCTGCCCACTCCTTCCTGGTGGGTGCATAGCTAATTTCTAGGAAATAGTGGGTTTTTTGTTGTTGTTTTTGTTGTTGTTAGCTTTTTGTTTTGTGTTGTTTTTTTCGAAACAGGGTTTCTCTGTATAGTCCTGGCTGTCCTGGAACTCACTCTGTAGACCAGTCTGGCCTCGAACTCAGAAATCCGCCTGCCTCTGCCTCCCAAGTGCTGGGATTAAAGGCATGCGCCACCAGCGCCCAGCTTGTTGTTAGTTTAAAAGACACTGATATTTAAATGTGGTGGGGGGACTCAACCCATTGCTTTGAGTTTCTTTGGGTGGATCCTCTGCACCCCTGGACCATGTTTTCATTCTCTTCTAATGTTGACCTTAAGAAATAATAAAGGTTGCAGTTAATTAAACTTTATCGAAAGGTTAAGTTGTTTGACTCTTGCTAAATGTTCTTAGTGCAACAGATTACAATGTTACTTACTGCAAACAGTCCCAAGTCCTGAAGACTGCCTGCTATCCAAAGTACAGAAGTGTTTAGGGGTACCCTGCATACCGACTCAGAGCTGGCCTGACTGTGGGTAGCAAAGAATGCTCACTGACAGGAAAACACAGGACATTTAAAAAGAGTAAAAGAAAGGGCACTTCAATAAATTTCTGAAAATGAAGAAACAATGCTTCTTGCAGGGTGACCACTACCTGCAACTCTGTAACACGGAAAGAGACCAGAGAGACCAAGGAGAGGGACACAAAGTTGTTCAGCTGCCCACTCAGCAGTTTTAACCGTCATTCCTTTTTTTATGACATAGAACGACAATTACTTAATACAAACTTTAAAGATTCATTATTGGAAGTATTTTTTGTTTGTTTGTTTGAACTGATCTCACACAGTTGCTCTGGCTAGTCTTGAATTTGTAGCAATCCTCCTGCTTTGATTGCATCAGTGTTGGAATTGCAGAACTGTTGGGCCCTGCTAGGACAACTAAGGTTCATGAGAGAAGTCTTTGCAGGTCAAAGTTCAAGGTACACACAGGAAGCTGGCTCTTTGTTCAGCTGGAAAAAGTTACAGATCTCAGAGAGAAGCCCCAGCCAGTCCCCTTGGGATGGTTTCCACTGAGCCTGGCTCTTCTAGTAGATACTTGAAATCCAGAACTGGCAGGTCTTGGGATGTTGGGGGGTCACTTGTTCTTCAAAGAAGTATGGACGAGAACAAAAACAAAGCGTGGTAGGTGTCATGAGATTGTTCTCACAGATGTTATGGTTTATTGTGTAGAGTAGCCTTTACTAAGTGGTAGCTGGAAGATCTTGTGTAGGTCCTTTGCAAATTTATATTGAGAATACAGCCTATATTCTCTCTATATATTGAGAATACAGTCTCAATAAATATTTGTGAATGGATTAGATATTTCCCACAGAATCAAGCAAAGAAGATGTAATCTAAAAAAAAAAAAAAGCAAAAAACTGAAAACAAAATCCAAAAAGGTACTTCATGTTTTCTGATACTAAATCACAAGGAAGGAAGAGAGGAATGAAGGAACAAACAAAGGAATGATCGAAGGAGAGAAGGAAGGAAGGAAAGACTGGAGAAAACAGAAGTGGAACTGATATCCTGCATTAACTGACCTCACCAGGAGACAATCGATTAACCCTTTGGTGCTCTCCCCTTTCCCTCTCTGTTGCGCTTGTGTGCCGTTGTACAACCGTTATTGGGTGCTTTTTGTTCTCATGCGTTGTGAGCATGCTTCTATATCGTCTCAGATTTAATTTCATCAAGATCGCAAACTGGATTTAAACTTTGTCCCTTATTGACTATTCCATTTTTCCAGTGCCAGAAACTGAACCTCAAGCTTTGTGCATGCTAATCAAGCTGGCACCCCAGGCCCCTATTTATTGGAGATTTATTTATTTATTTATTTATTTATTTATTTATTTTGGTTTTTCGAGACAGGGTTTCTCTGTGTAGTTCTGGGTGTCCTGGAACTCACTCTGTAGACCAGGTTAGCCTCGAACTCAGAAATCCACCTGTCTCTGCCTCCCAAGTTCTGGGATTAAAGGTGTGCGCCACCACCACCCGGCTTACTGGAGATTTATGTTCTTAACCATTCTTTGCTATAATAAATAGTGCTGTGCATTTGAAGAGCTGGCAACAACTTTGCTTATTTTCCTTTGAGTAAATTCCAGGGGTGGAATTTCTAGGCACGACCTATCATTTCATAAAAGTGCTCTTTATCACCCTGACAGAGTTTGGAATGTGTTTGGTGGCCGTGGTGATAGGCTCCATTCCTTCCAGCAGGCAGCACGTCATTGTTTCCTACTTTGACTTAAAATGCAAGAAGTGAAGAGTATTCATTAAGACGAAAAGTCTATGTGAGAAAAACAGTCATCTCAGAAGAGATGACAATAACTGTGGAAACACCAGTTGCACTGTTGACAGCAGCAGACCTGGAGACCTTAGACTACCAACCAGGACCGAGCAGTCAAACGGCTACAGTCCAAGACTTAAGTGGTTACTGTAATCCTCGCATTCCTTTCATAAGAACACTGAGTTCCACAGAGATTGAAGAAGTCTCTTAGTGATGAACAGCCTTTCTGTACTCACCCAGGCAGCACGTATCCTGACATGGACATGATACAGGATCATTAGTATGGCCTAGACAATGGTGAGAGTCAGGTCATGAGTCGCCCCTCTCATATACACAAAAAACAAAATGGAAATAAACTGTATTTTCTGAGAGACCAGGGTGGAAACCCAGGAACCTCAAATTGAGGTTCGTTATGTAATTTTAGGTAGATTTTTAAAATTTTATTTCAAAGTGTATTTGCAAAAAAACAAAACAAAAACTTGTTATTTTATGGACATTTTAGCTTCCTTATTTAAAAGGAGGGTGGCTTAAGGGAAACAGCAACACATCTGCGGCAGACATAGTGAGTTGAGCATGTGAGCAGCAGAGTCTGGTCTGGCTTCTTGGTGGGTGCTTCATCTGCGATGCCAGACTAGCAGTCCAACCATTTCAGTCTCATTTGCTATCATCTGTAGGGAGGGAGAGTCTAACTCAGTAGATAATCTTGGGCTCCCAAGTGTCCATCTGGCCAAGTATCCTTGTGTAGATCCATGAAGCATAGGTGTGGAGAACTATCTCAGATTGAGGATAGGTTACTTTTATAAAGGTAATTTGTAATAGTCCATATATGTACATGGTTTGGAATTTTTTTGTGTTTTGTTTTTTGTTTTTTTGTTTTTCGAGACAGGGTTTCTCTGTGTAGCCCTGGCTGTCCTGGAACTCACTCTGTAGACGAGGCTGGCTTTGAACTCTCAAACTCAGAAATCCGCCTGCCTGTGCCTCCCAAGTGCTGGGATTAAAGGCATGCGCCACCACCGCCCAGCTTGGTTTGGAATTTAAAAAAAAAAAAAAATCTAAATGAATATTTAGCCATGAGAGTCTTGTAAAATATTTCATTCACATGCCAGGCAGTGGTGGCACATGCTTTTAATTCTAGCACATGGGAGGCAGAGGCAGTTGGATCTCAGAAAGTCTGAGGCCAGCCTGGTCTACAGAGCAAGCTCCAGGACAACCAAAACTACACAGAGAGACCTCATCTTAAAAAAAAAAAAAAAAAAAAAGCACACGCCTTTAATCCCAGCACTTGGGAGGCACAGGCAGGAGGATTTCTGAGTTTGAGAGTTCGAGGCTAGCCTGGTCTACAGAGTGAGTTCCAGGACAGCCAGGGCTACACAGAGGAACCCTGTCTTGAAA